CATGCAGTTTTGATTATTATGGCTTTGTAGTACAGCTTGAAGTTTGGGATTGTAATGCCTCCATTTTGATTTTTCTTAGACATGAGGGTTTTGAACGTGCCCTTTTCTTAAAGATGAAACTAACTGATGAGGTTTTCTTCTCCTTCTCTTCCAATGAGCTTAGAAGTCAACAACATAAACCTATTCTAATGTGAATCCTGTCAATCTCTCCATTTTTTAAAAAAAATATGTATTATTTGAGATTTGGAAATCTCAAAATTTGTGTGCTCCTGAAATGAAGCGGTTTCTATGATGGAATCAGAAATGATCAAGCTCCGTCTAGAAAAGAAAGCGCAACTAATATTTTTTCTTTGTAACCAGACTGGAAAAACAGGAACTATCCATCTGGCCGCGGCAGGCCAAAAACTGGTTTTTTGGACTTGAAATATTTTTGTTTTGAAGAATAGAACAGATCACCCCCAAAATGTGCCACCCTGGAATCTGGATTGTTTGGAGCTGAAGGTCATCAAGACCCAGCAGTTTCTGGAAAAACTTCTACCTCACCCTCAATGACCTGAGAGAATTCAGACGGGCTATGTTGTGCTTAACACCCTGTGAATCACCCTCTTCCCTGGAGAACCCCAACACCTCCTTAGCCTCGATGGTGCATAAGAATCAATTTCCCAAGACACCTGTATTTTATGGGGATACCACCTGAGAGGAAAAATCAAACATTGTATGAAAATGAACAATGATGTAAAAATATTTAAGTAAGTAAGTAAACAAAACAAACAAACAAAAAAAAGAATCAATTTCTCAACTTGCCCTTAGATCTCATGTCTTTGGGGCCCTCTTTAAACAAAATCAAATTTCTCTCCTGTTCATCTGCGCTGTGTCAATTTAATAGTTAGGTCAGCCAACGAATCCCAAAAGGGAAATCTTCCCAACTCTACCACATTTATTAAGATGCTGGGCTGTGGTAATAGATCAAATCACAACTGGATTAAACTAAATTAGCTGACTAATAAAGATGAAGTAGGGGCCTCCGGGTGGTGCAAGGGTTAAAGCGCAGCACTATGGAGCTCTCCACAGCCACTGCAGCCTGAGTTTGATCCCCGGCCTGGGAGCTGACCCACAGGGCACAGCAGACCTCTCCTGTCTCCCTGCTGCTCACCTCAGCAGTGTGTTTCAGTACATCTGCCTGTTCTGCTCCCCACTCTGTCTCTGGTGGATCCTCTCACTGCCCCTGCACCTCTGGCCTGTACCCCGGTTCTGTATGCACAAATAAATAAATCTTAAATAAAAATAAATCAGCAAAGATGAAGGAAACAGTGAAATAGGATTAACTTTCCATTTCTCTTTCCGAAAGTGGCAGGTTTTTCCTTTCTTGTCTTCTTTGTAGTCCGCTTCAAGAACAGCCTTCCCTAAGCTTCCCCATGCTGGCCAAGAGCTCAGAAACCTTGACTCCATGCCTATGTGAACCCCAAAGCTGGCAACCTGTAATCTGCTTGCATTCGCTCCCTGGCTCCCTGACCCCCTCCCCCAGCCCCTCCCCTTGGGAAGGCTGCTCTTTTCTGCTGTATTCATGTTTTGTGTAACATGACGCTGTGTCCGATTTAGGCGCCAGAAGTCTGATTCCTCAGCACTAACCCCCCTGTCCACAAGCTGCGAAGGTCACAATTCACTCTCAGGCAGTGAAGTGGTTCCATCAACAACTGTTCAGGCCAGTTATCCCAAAACCAGAGTTGCAGCAGGGGGTGGGAAGCCTGGAAGACCTGACGCTCCACCTCTAGCTAACTCTGAGGGTCTCCTGGTGGCAGGATGTGGGCAGTGAGGCCAGGGGACAGTGGCCAGGTCCTGCAGGACTCACAGCCAGGACACAGGTGACAGCTGCTCACGGGAGCATATGAGGGACTCAGAGCAGGAAACAGCTTTATCTTGGGGGAGCTGAATTGTCTAGACAGTCTTGCAGATTTACTGCCTGACTGGGCATAAAAATGGATTCCAGATTTCCTGGCTTCCACGACACTGGGCTGCTGGGTGAGCTGAGAAGAGCTCTGAGGTCAGTGCCACAGGCAAGGGGACATTTTTCCTGGGGACCTAACACAGATGAGAACTCCCAGGTAAATTCAGTAAAAGTGTGGGTGAGGTAGAGACACCCCTTCCCACAGTCTTCCACAGCGAGGGCTAATGTCTGCCCAGGCCCCAAAAGATTGAGGCCAAGAGAAGCTTCTGGCGTCTGCACTGCCAGTTGCAGACCTTACTGATGAGTCTTTTACAGCCTCTCTCCCTCGTTCACGGTCCACGCTGCCTGACCGCATCTCCTCCACCCCATGGTTACTGCCCCCACCCCCATCCCACCCCCCCCTCCCGTGAGGTGTGTCTCCCCGGCTCTGTGTCTCCCTGGCTCTATTGCTATTGGTCTTGTCTGTCTGACGACAGACTTTAATACCCGTCACGAACTTTCCATTCCTCGCAGGGTTTCCTTTGACCTCCTCAGGTGTGGGATCACCTCAGCGGATGCTCCCTCAGGAGTGCCGCCCTCCGCCACCCCCACTGCATCCTCACCCCTCCTCACCCACTGCACCCTCCATCCCTAGCTCCTGAGGGCCTTTGAGGGTCCTCCCTCCCTAAAGACCTTTGACGACTCCCCTCATCCACAGTGTGGCTTTAGGCATGAAGAGCCTCCTTTAAGACTCAAAAAGATTTAGCAGAGCTCTGGTGAACAGGAGCACCTCTCTAGCCGTCAGCCAGAAATACACAGAGACGTGAAGTCAATAATGCCTTTACATAAAATTGGTTTTTGTTCAACAAAATGGGCATTTGAAAAACTGTCGTGCATTTGGCCCAACGAGAGCTTTGCTTTGGAGGGCTTGTGCACCTGGGCCCACAGAGGGCCTCCAGGCACAAGCGAGGGGTGCTTCTGGACCCCACCTGTTTCACAGCATTGCTTCTCATTGCTCCTTCTTCCTCGTTTCTTTTTTTTAAAGATTTATTTATTTGTGCATACAGAACTGGGGTACAGGCCAGAGGCTTAGGGGGCAGCCAGAGGCTTCACCAGAGGCAGAGTGGGGAGCAGAACAGGCAGATGGACGAAGCACACTGCTGAGGGGAGCAGCGGGCGGGTCAGGAGAGGTCTGCTGCGCCATGTGGTCACCTTCGGGGCAGGGATTGAACTCATGCTGCAGTGGCTTTAGCTTCTCAGTGCTGTGCTTTAACCCGCTGCGCCACCAGGGAGGGCCCCTCATTTCTTTTTCAAGCAACACAAACTGTTGTCCTTTCCCCAATACACAAGCATGGGTGTGCCTGGGCACACACACACAGAATCTACTGGTCTACTAGCATTAATTGGTACTTAAAAATGCCTGTTGAAAGAATGATGGATAATATCCTTACTGCACTCTGCAAAGCTTAATGTGTAGGTCACGGGCTATTTATAACGGTCTTGGAAGAAAGTTGAATGTGTCACACGGCACAATGCATTGAGGGTGGTGTGGTGATTGGTTAAACTGCTATGATCCAACTAAGCAGGCTTTTTGGATATGAACTAATCACCATAACTAAATCGTGGCTTAAGAGTTAGGCTCACAGATTTGCATTCTTCTCTGGGGTTTTGCTAGGAGCCAGAAAATAAGTGACTCAAGGTTATACGCTGTAGGGGGAGAGGAAAGGGGAGAGAGAGCTCATGTCTTGGAAGCCAAGACACCCAAGGGTGAGGCCTCCTTGGGCTCCCAGCCTCAGGGGTGGAGGCGGGAAGTGATGGCCCAGGGCCTCAGTGGCTCTAGGCACGGGAAGCGGGCACTCACCGTGGTCACTAACGCCACCTGCCAGTTCTCCAGCTGCCATTCGCAGCGGATCACAGGGGACACCACCGCAATCAGCATGATCTCCATGGCCTCCACCACCTGGAAGCAGAAAGGGGAACACGGTGACTTGCCCCGCCTGTCTGCCACCCCGCAGGCCCTCTGTAGAGAGCACGTCGGACATACTCTGTCAGTGCTGCTAGCTGGAAAAGGGTCTGGAGGATGCGGGCTGTCAGGATGTGACTTCAATGGTTTGGACAACTGGAGATGGTCCCAGATTCATGACCCATCCCCAGGTGAGATGCCTTGTCACGCTCCAGCATCGTCTGGTCACCTAGCTAGTCCAGCCTCCTCAACAACATAGCTTTGTTGTTATATACTTGTCATCAAGATCTCAAATAATTTTTTTAATAGTTCCTGATCACGAGTCCTGGGGAAGCAAGATTTGTGAAAAGCAGAGCAGAGCAGCAAGCCCAAGCAACATGAGCGCACCAGCAGGAAAGAATGTCCATTAGCAGACAGTTAGTATGTGCCTCTAGGGGCCTCTCTGCACCACCACCCCACAGTCTGAGTTCGATCCCCAATCCCCCGGCCAAGGAGCGGATCCTCATGGCCTAGCAGACCTCTCCTGTCTGGCCCGCTGCTCCCCTCAGCAGTGCATTTCAGTAGATCTGCCTGCTCTGCTCCCCACTCTGTCTCTGGTGAAGCCTCTCACCACCCTTGCACCTCTGGCCTGTACTTCAGTTCTGTAAGCGTAGATAAATAAACCTTTAAAAAAAAAAAAAAAAACAGAATAAAGCCATAGCTTGTTCCTCTCTTCCTACCTCAGCCTGCCCCATGTTTCAAATGGTCAGTGAGTTCTCAGAACATGAAGACACAGGTATTCTTTATTCAGAAGGAGCCCCCGCCACCAGTATAGGCGCATGGTTTTGGGAAGGTCGACACCACCAGGCACCTATCATGTTCTTCCAGAACCCATAGCCCTGACTTGAGGTCGCTGGGCGCCTAATGTAGTCAACAGCAAGCGAGCTTTGGGGACTCCAGTGAAGGCAGGGTGGGGAGGAAAGTTGGGGGGAGACACTGGGGCTTACCCCAGTGCTGCCCATGATCAGAAACAGCGCGATGTGGAAGCGACCGAAGCCTATAGTCTCCACGGCGTCTTCCACTGTGAATGTCTTCGTTTCTATCAAGGAAAAGCAAAGTGACAGGAACCACCTACGTGGGGTGGGAACAGGTCTGGCTTACTCTTCCCCCAAAAGATGTCGGGGAACCAGCTCATATTCCAAACACTAGTAAATACAGCAGGCGCCCAAGGTCGGAGACGTCTGCGACCATCTCACCTTTCGGCTGTGGCTCGGGGGTCGCCAGGCTCAGCTTCCGAAGGCTGATGAAGGTGACAGGCTCCGCCTCCCTGGCTGCCATCTTCCAAATGGTGCAGATCCCCACACAGCTGCCCTGACAGAAGCAGGGAGGAGAGGGGAGGGTGCAGCATTGAATGCATCTTCTTCTATCTTTGGGGAAAATCTATACAGTCAGTATTATAATGTATCACCATTTTGCGTAAGAGAAATCTGGGACATGGCCGGGGGGAATGGTCAAGTGAGATCATAGCCCAGCAGCTAGTGACCGACTGTGAGTCAGGACCCTGTGAAATATTGATAATTTGACCAACAGCATCTTCTGTCAGGGAGTGAAGTTTCTTTGATGGAGAAAGAGTCACAGTGGCCAGCACGTCCCGAGGGCATGCCTTTCTGCCACTGGTAGTTGAGCAATTCTTTTTATCTCCTCTTTTTTGCATTTAACCCATAAAAGGATTCTTAACTCTATAACTCAAAAGAAAAATAAAACAAGGAAAGCTGAGTATTGAGCAAGTGATTTTTTTTAAAGCCTGGTGGCACAAGGGGTTAAAGTGCAGCACTTTGAAGCTATCGGCAGCCACTGCAATACTGTCCTGCAGGGCAAGCTGACCCACATGGCGCAGCAGACCTCTCCTGTCTCCCCGCTGCTCCGCTCTGGTAGGAGCAGCAGAAATACGAATCTGTCCTGAGTATCGATGTGGTTAGTAATAACACTGCTGTGGTTATTTGGATACTAGTAGATGCCATAAATAAATCAAATAAGCAATGGTTGTTCTTAGAAAGCAAGCTCTTTGGTGTAAGAGAAAAAAATAGAAATCAAAGAAGTTATATAAAAAGTTTATAACCCTAATTTTGAATTAGAGACATCAATACATGAACTCACTATGTATTTTATGTAATCTAACACCAGGCACTGAAAGAGCCTAGAAAAATGACCAACGAGCTTGCCCAGAAACCAGATTGTTTTCTTTCTTGTTTTTTACTAAAGGAAACCCTGTTACCTTAAGTAAATGGCTAATCATGGATTTGGGACAGAAAATATATAAACAGAGGGTTCCTTGGTGGCACAAGAGATTAAAGCATAGCACTGTTTAGCGGTCCATAGCCACTCGTGGCAGCATGAGTTCGATCCCCGACCAGGGGGCTGACCCACATGGCACAGCTGACCTCTCCTGTCTTGCCCACTGCTCCTCAGCAGTGTTCTTCGGTTGATCTGCTTGTTCTGTTCCCCACTCTGTCTCTGGTGAACTTCTCACTCTCTGCACCTCTGGCCTGTACCCCTGTACTGCGGGGCTTTTTGCATAAATAAATAAATCGTTAAAAAAAATACAAACAGAGCCTGGCTCATCTTGTCATAACAGATAGCAAGGAAAATATCCAAAAAATGCTGGGGTTGTGACAGAAATACAGGAATTCAATTTGAGAAGGCTCCCATTAGTCAAAGAAGGAACAATTTGAGCATTAAGAAGAATAATGACTCGCAGGCCCTCTCTGGGGGCGCATGGGTTGAAGTGCAGCACTATGAAACTATCTGCAGCCACTGCAGTAGGAATTCGATCCTGAGCCAGGGAGCTGACCCACATGGTGCAGCAGACCTCTCCTGTCTCAGGAGTGTATTTCAGTAGATTTGCCTGTTCTGCTCCCCACTCTGTCTCTGGTGAACCCTCTCTCTCTCACACACACACATACCCCTCACTGAACCTCTAGGCTGTACCCTAGTTCTTGTATGCATAAATACACAAATCTTTAAAAAAAAAGAAGAAGAAGAAGAAGAATGATGACAAAGAATTGAAACACATCAAAGATAGAATTTTTAGAATATGTGCTGTTGGAGCAAACACAACACCAAAAATATCAAAATCCGTTGTTGAGAGTAATACTCAAATGAAAATCTCATCACTTAACTTTAGGAATACCAGCTCTCGTAATTCTGCAAACTAACAAATATCCTTTTTCCAACAAATTGCCTGTCCTTTAGGGTAGCCACACAAATGGTGAAAGAAAACTATTCCTTCATTTTAGATGAGAAAGGTAGGCTGAAGGATGGAATTATATTGTTACCATTTTGCAACTCCAAACAAAACAATGGACATGTGCAATAAATAAATAAATGATTGTCAATGACTGGTAAGACTACTGGGTGAAAGGCTGATAGTGAACTTCACTGAGAAATGGTGAGCTTGATAACGCCTGAGCTCCCTGAGCAATCTCAATGCCACGGAAAGAAGCCAAGCAAATCTTACACAGTTCCTGACAAGGAAAAATAGAAAAGAGTCTACAACATCACCATTAAAAGAAACTGAACGCAAAACTAATCAAGCCTGTAGTTCTACTGGGTTTTATAGTGAATCAAGAATATGTGCTGTGGATACAGTAAGAAAAGTCCAGAATGTGGGAAGTCCTGAAACTCAATAAATAAATGGCAATAAAAGGGAGGAGCTATGGACTAAAAGAAAAAAAATTAATCAAGTACGTGAGATGATCTCATTTGGAGCCCCACGCAAATAACACCAACTTAAGATAACACCAAAGAATGGGAAGACAGAAAATCAGGAAAATGTAAGTGTGGAAGTTTGAGATGAAGGAATTACTGGTAAATCACTAGGTATAACAAAGATATTGTGGACTTGCTAGAAAAACCCTTCTATTTTAGCGACACATGCTGAAATAGTTGCAGATAAAATTGTATGATGTCTGGGGTTTGTTTTAACTTAATTTCATGCTGGGAGGGGGTGGGATGCATAAGCACATAGATAGATCGATAAACAAAGAATGGGCACTGAAAATTATTGAGGAAGATGGCGAGTGAATTAGGATTCTTTTACCAGGTTCTGCTTTGGGACATGTGTAACATTTTTCAAACACAAATTGTTCAAAACATGTGCTTCTGGGATTCTTGGATAACATGCCCACTATCAGATCAGTAGTAAGCAGAAGAGTCAGAGCTGGAACACAGAGCGCCTTTTCCCAGGACAGTCACTGAGCAGAGCCCAGCAGTTCCTCGCTAGTTATCTGTGCCCAGCATCACGTGGGCTCCTGTGGAGACGCCAAAGGACAGTCTGCTAGTTGGGGACCCCAAAGATACACATAAAAACAACTCTACCGTAATGTAGCTATTATTTGTTTTCTTAAAACATTGTCACAGAGACACAAATATTCCCAGATGGGAGAGAGATCAATCATGCTCAGAAATAAATCCACAAAATCCTCTTTCCCAGGGGAGACCAGGAAGAGTACAAAAAAGTTGTTATTTTCACAGAGGAGAAAGTTCAAATAATTGGTCTCTCGGCCCATCTGAGACCCAGAACGTCATAAAGACAAGCAGTTGTAGAACTTCTACGGCCTCCTTTAGAGACCTTACCCAAACTCCCTTTCAAGGGCTGTCCTTTACCTGATAACTCTGAAATAGAAGAGCAGAGAAATCTTCTTCGGATTATAAAAAAATTTTAATAATCACCTCTGACTGAATAATATGCTATAGATGGAAAGATGCAAATGAACCTGACTTGAATCAAAACATGAAAATGCCAGTCTGTGAGAATGAGTGGTGATGGTTGTATAACCTTATGACTAAAATCTCCAAACTTTATACTTTAAAATGATGGCTTTTAAACCCAAAACTTGAAAGTTGACTATACAACTGAGGCTTCCGGAGGGGCAGCGGAGTGGCAAGAGCTGGGTGGGAAGGAGCTCGACAGACTGAGGGGCGGCTGTGGTGCTGTGGTAGCGACCCTGGGGGAGACCTGTACTGTAAGCCACACTACCACGATGAAATTTTTAATTAAAAATATTAATATAGGCCCTCCCTGGTGGTGCAGCGGGTTAAAGTACAGCACTGAGAATCTAAAGCCACTTCCGCATGAGTTCGATTCCCGCCTGCCCTGGAGGAGACCACATGGCGCGGCAGACCTCTCCTGACCCGCCCGCTGCTCCCCTCAGCAGTGTGCTTCCATGATCTGCCTGTTCTGCTCCCTACTCCGTCTCTGGTGAATCCTCTCACCCTCTGCAACTCTGACCTGTACCCCAGTTCTGTATGAATAAATAAATAAATCTTAAAAAAAATTAATATATTGGGACCTCCCTGGTGGTGCAATGGGTTAGGACGCAGCACTGCAAGCTGGCGGCAGCCGCCTCAGCACGAGTTCGATCCCCACCCCGGAGGTGACCACATGGTGCGGCAGACCTCTCCTGACCGCCCACTGCTCCCCTCAGCGGTGTACTCATCCATCTGCCTTTTCTGCTCCCCACTCTGTCTCTGGTCAGTCCTTTCACCGTCCTTGCACCTCTGGCTTGCACCCCAGTTCTGTATGCATAAATAATAAATACGTCTTGAAAAAATATATTAACATATTAAATCATGGATTTTATTGTTTGTGAATTGCAACCCTTTGAAAAATAAACGAACACAAGTCATGGCAGACCCATGACGAAAATGATTCTGACCCTTTGAACTGTAAGAGAACCAAACCATTTTGTTTGGTGTGAAATAATTGTTTTTTTAAAAACCCAGTGAGTTCATGTTAAGTTCAGTTACAACTAAAAGGCTTAACAATAAATTCAATCTTCAATCAACACATAATCTCTCCCCCTACTGAAGCCGATGGCTTCTCATAACGATTTAAACATGTTTTCTAATTTTAACAATCATAAAGCCTCACATTTTACAAGGGTAATAAAACAATCTTCAGCAAGACTTCTGTGTTGAATGGCAAGAAAAGAAACATAGAAAATCTGCCACTTACAATTGGGTGGATGAGTCTTAAATTTTTTTAAAATATTTTATTTATTTATGCATATAAAAACTTGGGGTGCAGGCCAGAGATGTGGGGTGGAGGGAGTCAGAGGACTCACCAGAGACAGAGTGGGGAGCAGAATAGGCAGATCCACTGAAATATACAGCTGAGGGGAGCAGCAGGGAGACAGGAGAGGTCTGCTGCGCCCTGTGGGTCACTCTCCCTGGCCGGGGATCCAACTCCAGCTTCAGTGGCTGGCGAGAGCCTGTCAGTGCTGAGTCTTTACCCCTGCGCCACCAGGAAGGCCCCACAAATCTTAGTTTGCCATTAA